ATGTAAATATACGATAAATATTAAATTGAATATTATCTAAAAGTTGAATAGTTTCAGTAGTAATAGGTATCATTAAATCATGAACATTACTATCAATTGATACTTGAGTACCTCTCATTACATGTTTAAATTCCTATCTGGTATTATTTATACTAGATAGGATCACAAAGATGGAGATTTTGGATGATATTCTGGAGACTTTGGTTGATACTCTGGAGATTTTAACTTTTTCTCAAATTTATCTAACCTCTTTTCAACTGATTCAATCGTATCAGAAACGTTAATCTTTTTCTTTTTTCCTTTTCTGAATATATAGATTTTAAAATCTTTTAATAACTTAACTTCATCTTTATATATTGAAGAACCTGTATCGTTCAGATTTTTTACCCATAAATATATATCATAATTTGGTTTCAATGTTCGAAACAATTTTTTAAACTTCATCAAAGAACCTTTCTTGTTCAGATTTCCAAGTTTTTGTTTTGCTGGTAATGATTTGTTTACGCTCTGTAACAACTTAAAATATTTACATCTTCTTCTAAATTGACATTGAGAAGCATTATGTCGATTATCATAATTCCAAAGATCTGGTCGAAATTTTCGTTTAGTAGATTTTCTATTTTCACATTTACAATCAAAGAATTCAAGAAATGGTATACATCTTGAATGTTTTAACATATCAAACCTTTCTTTCATATCACGTCTTTCAAACTGAATCATATATGATCTCTCAAAATCTATATTTCGAAATGATATAGCATTTTTAATTACATATAATTCATGAAATACTTTCCACTTAAGTAGAGAGTATTTTGAGAAATTATTTTTATATTTCGATTGATTAAAGACATATTTTTCTTGATATCTAGCTTGAAGAGCTCTGTATCAGTTATCAAATTCTGAGATTCGATGAAGATTTTACATGTTAATTTCCTTCCTTTTTATAGATAAATTGTCAGTATCAAAAAAAATTTTAAGATTTTTTTTGTTTCTCTCGTAAATTATTATTTTTCTTATAATAATTAATTTTTAACAAATAAGCATAATTTTTAAATAATATACATAAACGATTACTATTTTCCTCTTGAGGATTTATCAAATAATTATGTAACTAATCACAGACAATCTACAAATAGATATCTTCTTGAGGATTATCAAACAATCCTCATGATAATATTTGTGATCGATCATAGATAATCCTCTTGAGGATTTCATAAACAAATCCTCAAATAGATAAGTGTAACTAATCACAAACAATCCTCTTGAAGATTTATCAAATAGTAAAACATTAATTATTAAATCCTTTTGAGGATTCTTTAATAAATTTTTTATTCGATATTTCTTTAATAAATTAATAAATTTATTTTATTTAAATATATATTAAAATATTTACATAATAAATATAGTAATAATTCTTTAAAAAATAATATTTATTTAAACATATAATTTAATATAAATAATCGTATTTTATTTTTTTTATTTACAAAAAAAAAATGCAAAATAATTATGTTTAAAAAAAATAATCACAAAATCTGGGATCAATATAGCATTGGTCCTAACAATTCTTGTATTTGTAAGGTTATAGATTGTAAACATGTTTATGAATATCCATTTGATGAAAACGTTTTAAAAAATCATTATATGAAAAAATATTTGAAAATATGGGAATCTATTAAAGAAAGTAAGAGAGGACGTAAAGCT